TGCTTTGCGTAATTTGCAGAATAGTATAGCATAATTTTATTGTAACTCTGAGGAGGCGACGTAGAAAACCGGAGACACAGAAGCGGAGGTGAGCAGACTCAAAGCTATTAACCAATATCTAGCTGAAAATTCTTCTAGTGTCGGAGCCTAAAGTCACAGGAGAAATTAAAGCAACTAGACTTCGCTAACGCCGGCATGTAGAAAGATTGGGAGAGAATCGGGCCATGAAAAGAGCATATTATCTGGGACGACGACCGGTTGGACATCCCGATATAGCTGGAGCGTCGGCGCTGGATGCCGACTACTGGCGGGACCTAGCCCAGCGTCGCAGAGAATGGCGTCATCTTGCGTCAAAGGCCAAAATTCATTACAGGTCGCGGCGCGTAACTCTAGCGCTGAACAAAACGCAGAGGGGATAGCTGCGCATGGGAACGACTGGAGAGCCAATCGGCGCAACGCACGCTCACCCGCGCACCTCGTTTCCCCCTAAGACATCCTAATTTTATCTTCTGCGCATCAAAGAGTTTCGTGACGCGACTTACACGAATCGTTGCGCCGCAGAAGTACATAATAGGGATGATGACTAATTTTTTTTTCTTCGTTTATCGGGTAGATTATCAAAAAGTATTGGACACGTATTTTTTCTTTTTTCACATATTATAAGCATTGCAGAGATATATTGATTTGAAAAGTCGAATGACGTCACGTTTGAGTACACTTATAAGGGAAAATTCACTCAAAAGTGACGTCACGAGCCCCTACTCCCAAACTTTGACGTGCTATAACTTTGTCATTTTTTGGTTGATTGCCCAAAGAAAAAATACGTGTCCATTATTTTTCGATCATCTAACTGACGGACTCAATAGAATTTCGTTTACTGTACCCCGTCATCACCCCTATTGTAAGAAAATAGCTCAAAATACATTGTGTGATGATAAATACAACCTTATGGTGATCTTAGGTTATAATATAAAAGTATTATATCATGCGTCCGCGTCGTCCGACAGAGACGTCAATCTAGGTAAAATTCACAAGCTATAACGTCAACAATGGAAAATATTAAACAAAAGCTCCTCTATTGATGGTCGTACGTAAACAGAGCTCTGTTAATTGGTATTGAAAGCAGAAATATCGTAATTAACATTTGTTACGCTAGCAAAATTCGATACAGTGTCGACTGTCGAGTGTCTTGTTTAACAACAATCAAACTATGAACATTTAAAAGACAAGCGATATGCGTATAAATCATTGCTTATCGTTGTAGAATATCTAACAATTTTACAGAAACAATATAACGATTTAAAATGTCGTGTTCTGTAATGATGATAATGATATAAGTGTGAAGTGATTCAAATGTATAAATTTACACACGTGCTGCAAGATTTCTTATATCCGTGAAACCCAGGAACCTAATTTTCTATATATTTTTTTTAATGTGTAGGTTTCACCACCACCACCTTTTCCTCTTGCTTTCTTGCAATTTGATCGATTTCGTGAAATAAGACGGAAGTTTGTAACAGGAAGTCAGGGAAGCGCGCGCTATTGATTTCAGAATAATGTTTTAAAATTTCTTGTTAAAAGAATAAACATTATTTATAAAATGCAAAGTTACTTAATATATAACGCAAGTTATATTTGCGCAGTAAATATTATATGGGCATGTTTTGATTGACGCTTAAGTTAGACTAGCAAACCAGTGAACAAAATGTTCACCAAAACCTGATTAAAAAAAATGTATTTAATTGAGAACTTCGGAGATTTTGTATGGTTTCGTTTGAAATTCGTGATTTCTCGAAAATCGGAAGTGCGGAAGTGTTACTCAAATCCGGTTTGTAGTCTTATCAGACTATTCTTAACTTATAACTTAAATATTCTATTTATCTATCTCTTAAGGTTTGGCCGCTGAAACAGCACCACAGACAGACAGACGGACGGACTTGTCTAATAGATATGAGATGCTTCACGTCATATTCCTTACTCGGGAGAACTTGAAGGCCTTGACCAATGTTCAGTTTCATTGTTTTAATTCGATGCAAAATTTTGGTATACGATAAACTAAGCATTAACTCTAAAGAAAAAAATCCACGCGGAGACTTGAACCGGCACCCTCTGCTAAATCTAGCAGTTAAATACTTAAAGGAGGAGCTCGATGGCGCAGGTGGTTAGCGCGATCGGCTGCGATCGTTGTAGTTAAGCAACTTTCGCAGTGGTCGGTCATTGGATGGGTGACGAAAAATTTCTATTTCGACTTCCTCCGTGCTTCGGAAGGCACGTTAAGCCGTTGGTCCCGGCTGCATCTGCAGTCGTTAGCACCCGCCAATCCGCACTGGGCCCGAGTGGTGGGTCGTGGCTCGATCTCCCTATTCCCTCCATAAGGAAGGCCTGTGCCCCAGCAGTGGGGACATTAAGAGGCTGATGATGATGATGCGATACATAAAAAAAGTAAAAATATAACTATAATTGCTATTTCTCCTTTCAAATGTTTAATACTTGTTAAGGTATTCATATGACATTGTGGGTTACCACAATGCGAAAAGATGGCGCTGCCTTGCAGCCTAACATATACTAGAGAAAAATCGACGCAGCCATTAGGGCCGCGGTAGCATAGGTCAGTGCATCCGCCCGAATAGCGGAGGGCTGGTTCGAGTCCTGTCTGCTGGTCCGCGTGATTTTTTTTCTAGTAAATATATCATAATATTTAAACAAATAGCAGTTCAATGCTTAAAAAATAAAAATGTAACTAAGCATTCTGCTAAGTAATTTGGACATTGTATATGGATGCAAAAAGGGTACAGATCGACATGTCGATGATAGTTTACCGATAATAAATCATAATCATAATCATTTATTCAGTTTAGGCTGTTACATTGGCTCATATGAATGTCTAGAAGCTACGCCATCGGTTCGTAAATCTGAATCTCATAAAATGATTTTTAAATATTCAGTTTAGGCTGTTACAAGCACATATGAATGTCTAGAAGCTACGCCATCGGTTCGGAAATCTGAATCTCATAAAATGATTTTTAAATATTCAGTTTAGGCTGTTACAATCATATATGAATGTCTAGAAGCTACGCCATCGGTTCGTAAATCTGAATCTCATAAAATGATTTTTAAATATTCAGTTTAGGCTGTTACAAGCACATATGAATGTCTAGAAGCTACGCCATCGGTTCGGAAATCTGAATCTCATAAAATGATTTTTAAATATTCAGTTTAGGCTGTTACAATCATATATGAATGTCTAGAAGCTACGCCATCGGTTCGTAAATCTGAATCTCATAAAATGATTTTTAAATGATTTAACAGGTAGAAAAAAACAGCCCTTCCTGAGTTTCTTGCCGGTTCTTCTCAGTACAAGGTCTCCCGCCGTAGATTTACGAATCGATGGCGTAGCTTCCAGACATTCATATGTGCTTGTAACAGCCTAAACTGAATAAATGATTTTGATTATAAATCAAATATTAGCTGAGTATACATATTTTTTTTATCGTAGATTTTTTAGGCAAACAACTCTCACACTAGTCAATAATATTGTATATTTACACGTAAAATACATTACAAAAGCCTCGTAAAACTAGATTGTATGAAGTGTGTCGCCTTTTATCCTGAGATTGCCGTGATACGCGTATGGGTTATTGAGATAGCATCACAAAAATTAATACTGAAATTATCATCTAGCAACTAGTTATCAGTTAGGAACCTACTTAATTGAAATCGCCAAGACAACTTTCCAACTTTAAGTCTTACCTCTCTCTTGTCTCTCTCTTTGTATATATCTATTACATCTATTATTCATTATTTATTTTACCATACCTGCTACACCTCCCCCCCCTCTTGTTCCTCTTATTTATTTATTTCACTGTCATGGGTTGCCTGGAAGAGATTGCTGTTTAGCAATAAGGCCGCCTATTGTGTACATTTTCACTGTCATGTTTCATGTCTTGTATGTCCTGTGAGGTGTATGTCAATAAAGAATATTATTATTATTATTATTATTTAACCGGAAGTTTACTTGCGTGTGACGTCATTTTAGGCTCCGCCAATCCCAAGCGTTTTGGGTCACGTGACAATAGATAAGAAAATTATTATCTTTTTCGTGGGTTTTTAGTAATATTATGAATATTTTTTTTTTTTGTAAAAATAGTAAAAACCCTTGCCAATATTCATTCTAAACACAGATGCCAACAATTAGCACTATATTTTTAACATTGTCAAATACTCTATTGGCGAATGCCTCTAGAGGTATTCCAGGCGGATGGCATCTCCCCACGGGGGGAGTTTCCTCTCCGTCTGGAGCCTCTAGACCACTCGAACCTAAGGGGGTATACCCTGTATGATGCAATACAACCCTAATGATTGCAAACATCGTGGCATCGAGTTTCATTATTCCCTGGAACGAATGCACATAGACACCAAACTATTTGTCAACGGTGTCCTGTTCAGTCAGTATGTAATCTGACACTTTCTTTGCGTGCACAAATTCTGATAATGACTTAATGGTCTACTTTGTCCAACGCATGAGTAAAACAAGGCGTAGTTGGAACTTGCATTCATCTTATGGCGAAAGAAAAGATCTCTGTCTGGTCTTAATCATAACAACCTTGTACCAATAATGGCTAAACTGTACTTCCAGGGCCCAAGTGGTGATACTTCACACTAGGTTAGGTTAGGTTAGTGTTGTGACCATAACGCGCGAGCCGAGCGAGCAAAGCGAGCATGCCGCGGCAGCGGCCGGCGAAGCGCCAGAAAAAAAATCTGTTAAAAAGACCTTTTCTACAAAAAAAAATCAAGTATCACCTTTTGGGCCCTGGAAGTACAGTTTTATCCCAATAATATTGTCAGAACACAACCAATCAAGGGGTGACCGACGACCTTTCGACCCGACTTCACATGACAATTATATTTTGGGTCACCCTTTCGCAGTCCTTATTCTTCGCAAAAGTTGACTCAACTTCGGCAAAGCGGACGCAGATTAATTGAAAACCAAAAAAACTCACAGCAGTAGCGGCTTCTTGTCTTCAGTCATTTCAAACACAAGCTTCTTCTCACCAGCACCTTATAGTACAGTCAAGAAGGTCTTACAAGTAACACTGATCACAACCCACACAGATACAGCAACTTCCGAGTTTCGCTGATGCAAAAACAAATGAAGCCGGCAGACTACCGCTTCGCGAGATTAGACTACGTCAAAACAAATGAGTACGGCAGACTACTGCGAGATTAGGGTATGTTAAAACAAATGAAGACGGCAGAGTACTGTCCTGCAAGATGCAAATGGAGACTAGGTATCCTATACGCGGAAGTGAGGTGAGCGCGTCGACAAGGCAACGCAACCGACTAAGTATGTACTACGACGAAGACTGTATCGGTTCGTTATCAGCTATCACGCATTGCTTACTACCCCGCCGCTCCTTAGTCACAATAAACTAGATAACGCGTACAAATACCGCTGTGCCGGGCTGATATGTCACCAATTAAATATACCCTCGAAGTGCGCAAGAATCAGTCGGAGCTAGGGTTACCAGATGATAAAATCAAAAGTCCGGAGAAAAAGCTTGATTTCCATTGAAAAATACTGAGATTTTTTACAGTCTGAGAATTTTCTCTCAAACCGTACTTAAGAATTTAAAAAAGTCGTAATATTATCGTTTATACTCTGCTTATACTTTTAAATCAATATAATTTGGAGAGCTTAACATTTGGGGCATTATATGAATCCATAATTAAAGAAAACAACCTTACTTAAAAATGTATCTTCACATATTAAGTATGATAAAACTGATTAAGTTAAGATTAACTTGGATAATAAAGTACTGATTTTAATTGTGCAATTATTACCAAAAGAAGATTATTTTTAGTTTGTTTAACGTTTTATTAAATAGATCTTTAAAACGTAAGGTGTATTTTATTGGAAATTCAAAAAATCCTGAGATTTCACGAGATTAGCAAAATCCAGCCGCAATCCTGAGAAGAGTCCAGAAATCCTGAAATCTCAGGACAAATCCTGAGATATGGTAACCCTTGTCGGAGCACAAACATGGCAGTGCGCATGCACTGCTTACCGTTTCAGATCAAATTGCGTTCCGCGAACTAACAACTACACTTATGCAGTGTATGCAAAATAGTTTATCAAATTTTACAACCTAATTTTACGACCTCCGTGGCCGAGTGGTTTGTACGCAGGGTTTCATGGTGTCGCCTACTCGAGAGGTCCCGGGTTCGAATCCCGGTGGGGGGCAGATGTTTGTGTGATGAATACGAGCATTTGTACTCCAGTCCTGGATGTTTTATATGTATTTCTATATAAATATACTTATATATGTACTGTATATGTATTCTTATCCGTTACCCTAGTATCCCATAACACAAGCCTTACAGTGCTTACTTTGGGGCTAGGCTAATTGGTGTGAGTGTTGGAAATATTTATTTATTATTATTTATTGAAGCAATTTGTTTCTTATAATTTTAGTTTTTTAAGCATGTAACTGCTTGATGTTTAAATCTAAAGAAAATATAACTAGAAAACATCCCACGCGGACCAGGCAGCGGACGGTACTCGAACCCGCACCCTTCGCTATCCGGGCGAATGCACCGACCAATTATGCTACCGCGGCCCTGACGGCCGCGTCGAAACTTTTCTAACCATTCTTAATTTATTTCTTTTCTATTTTGTTTACTATTAACGTTTTTTGTATTATAATAGGGGTGATGACGGGGTACAAATTCTATTTAGTCCGTCAGTTAGATGATCAAAAAATAATGGACACGTATTTTTTCTTTGGGCAATCAACCAAAAAATTACAAAGTTATAGCGCGTCAAAGTTTGGGAGTAGGGGCTCGTGACGTCACTTTTGAGTGAATTTTCACTTATAAGTGTACTCAAACGTGACGTCATGCGACTTTTCAAATCAATATATCTCTGCAATGTTTATATTATGAGAAAAAAGAAAAAATACGTGTCCAATACTTTTTGATAATCTACCTGATAAACGAAGAATAAAAAATTAGTCATCATCCCTATTATTTTGGTCAAATTTAATTAGTGTCATGATTTATTTTAATGTGTTAGTATGTTAATACCATATTAAAATTTAATTAGTCTGCTTTGATTCTTCCTTCTAAATGACAAACCTCAAAAAACCTCATTTATTAATAAGTATTAATACGGTAACTTAATGCTGATGCTCGTTACTTGAAGAAGAAGTGAAACTTCTTTTCGGACGATTTTTCCATTTAGACCCCCTAAATGGAAAAATCCTATGGAAATATGAAACGGAAATGCGTCACGAGCGTCACACGACTATATCTTTCTCTATCTATATTATATAAAACTCAAAGGCGACTGACTGACATAGTGATCTATCAACGCACAGCCCAAACCACTGGACGGATCGGGCTGAAATTTGGCATGCAGGTAGATGTTATGACGTAGGCATCCGCTAAGAAAGGATTTTGATCAATTCTACCTCCAAGGGGATAAAATAGGGAATGAAAGTTTGTATGAAACTTTGTCAATTTTAAATCAATCGGGCTGAGACTTTGCATGCAGGTATAAGAAGAATCATAGCTGAATGTCATTGTCATAATACAAGCCTGAGAACAAAAACTGTAGTCTACACTTCAGCTCTACACCGAAGCGAAGCGAGGGCGGGCCGCTAGTTTGCTATAAAACGTTTTTTATTTTAAATCTCTAACTTCTACGGTTCAGAAAATCGAAATGTGATACTCAGTTTTGCAGGCGGGCAATCGCCTAGAGAGATTTCTATGGCTATCGCTTTCGGTTTCATTTTGTTTTTCTGGCATTCTAAGGTTTTCAACTACCTTAAACTCATTTTATATCAGTTTAGTTATTACCCATGCAAAAGAAAAAGAAGATCGCGAGTCATTTGAAAACTTTCGGTGGTCAGAAATAACAAAATGAAATCGTAAACGATAGGAATAGCTATAGCAATCCCGTTAGGCGAATAGCCCCCAGGTCAGTATAGCTTAAACTTTGACAGCGATCAATTGACGTGAATAAATTTGTTTTTATTTGGACCATATAGTATCTGTCCATACTTATAGTAAAACGAAATTAACTTAAATAGTTATATTTTTATTTTTTTAAGCATTTAAAAAAATAAAAACTACTAGTTCTAGTTTTAGTTAAGCATGCTTAAAAATAAAATAAAAACATAACTGTAATTGCTATTAATTCTTTCAGAGAAAGTATTCATTTGACATTGTGGGTTACCTACAATGCGAAGAGATGGCGCTGCCTTGCATTAAGGCTAGGAAAATTTCGACGCGGCCATCAGGGCCGTGGTAGCATAATTGGTACTCCCGTCCGCTGCCTGGTCTTTATTTATTGACGTTTCGTAGCCTTTACAGGCTTCGTCGTCAGAATAAAACTTTTATTTAATTTGTCGAGCTACCTTCGAAAGACTTTTATTGAGCGTTTGGTTATTTCATTGTTCGATTTTTAAGTTTTATTGTCTATGTATGAATTTATTATTTAATTTACTTAATAAAGTATTTTATTTAAAATTCTTTTTTGTAATATTTTGAGTTTATTTATTTGACCCTAACTACCGTAAACCACCACCGGTTCCAAAATTGGGAGACCTTTCTGAGAAGAACCGGCGAAACAAACTCAAGAGGGGCTTTCTATCTCCTTCTTATGTTAAATTATGCAAACAAAAAGAACTAATAGTATCTGATGGTCTTGCAGTGTGTGCTCGGGGTTGGGATTTTATCTCCTGTATAATAGGTTCCCAAGCTGGTGGTATATACCAACCATCTTTCCTATTGAAATTTGGATAGTTTTTAATCTCAATAGCCTCGCGCATCATTCGAGGAACGAACCGCCGCTCAGCTGCAAGGATCTGTGTCGTAAAAACTAGTTTTATTTAATGAGTGATGTGCGTGAAAACCTAAGAAACAAGTAACTCAAATAGTTCAATAGAACAGCATTTCAATGCTTACTTTACTTTCCACCAATATTCATTTGTTATCTGAATTGAAGCTCATTATCATTAATAGCTAACAAATATGAGTGTGATAATTGCTTACTGGTTCCCCAAATTACATTTAAACCACAGCGAAGTCACTCAGGCACTTGATCATGTTTTTTGATTTGGTCACGTCACGCGCGACTAACATAATGACTACGACAAAGGTAACCCTCGAAACAATAGTTTTAATTTAATTGAAAAAACTTGCTAATGAAAAAATCAGTGCCTAAGTAGCGTTATTTTCAAAGGTCACAAGAGCCGGACACCTTACAACAACAAGTACTTTTTTTACTATCAAACACTTCATATCGATATAGTGGGGAAGTATGCAGTGATTGAAATATTGAAGGGGGAATGAACGCGTTAAGGTGGTAGTTCACATGCCAAAACCGGGTATCCGGTATTCGGTATACGCAGAACAAATGGCTTTAAAATTAGTTTTTGGTATCGACAGCGCAGGTGGTTAGCGCGTCCGGCTGCGATCGTTTGAAGTTAAGCAACTTTCGCAGTTATTGGATAAGTGACCAAAAATCTTCTATCTCGAGTTCTTCCGTGCTTCGGAAGGCACGTTAAGCCATTGTTCCCGGCTGCATTTGCAGTCGTTAGCTCCCGCGAATCTGCACTGGGCCCGCGTAGTAGGTCATGGTCTGATATCCCTATTTCATCTATAGGGAAGGCCTGTGCCTCAGCAGTGGGGACATTAATAGGCTGATGATGATTTTGATATTTTTTTTCTATGGTACAAACCATCAATAAATTGTTTACGCTTGTTATTACAAGTGATGAAGAAAGTGAGGCTAGAAATCAAAAATAATATTTTTGTTGTTTTCATAAAATTATCACTATCACAAATCTTCAGTTCAAAGAATTATTCCTTACTAGCATCTGCCCGCGACTTCGTCCGCGTTATAGTTTTTAGAGAATCCCACAGGAACCCAATATTTTCGGGGATAAAAAGTTGCCATGCGTCAGTCTAGGTTTTAAACTTTGCGAGAGAGAAATAAACATCCACACAGACATATAAACAAACTTTCGCGTTTATAATATAAGTAGGAAAGGATTAGAAAATCTCGCTATCAAGATCGAGCTCAAGCGAATATAGCCTGCAATGAAAAACTACACATTTCTCTATTATAAGAAAATTTCAGCTAATAATAGCTATTAATATCTGCTGAAAGCTGAAATTTTCTTTTCAGAGAACAAAGATGTCACTTTCCGTACAAAAAAAACTGGATAACTATTGCACAACCAAGAGTCTTTCCAGATCGTTCTTAGATTTATGGGAGGTATAATCGGAAAAATATGAAAACCATCAAAGAAACTACTTAGGTACCATGTATATGTCACCGGCAATCTGTACAATAAATGTATTCTATACAATACCTAG